CCGCCGCACATTTTCCACCGCGCTTGACTATAAATCTATGGTCCAGGTTCTTGAAATTCTAATGGGCCGGTGAATTTTTTGCCGCTCGCTGCGCGACTCCGAGGAGTCCATTAGTCTTTCAATTATTTTGCCCACCTTCGAGGGCAACCAGGGTTTTGCAATTTAATTCGAATTCTCTCGTCCTCTCTCGCACATCGCGCACATGCGCTGCGCCACGGACGACTATCGATGAGCGCACACGTTCCATCAACATATTCAACGGTCTATTAGGCGCGTACGAGAGGGGCCAGACGGACCGAGGTCATGGTTCGAGCGTGGAGGTCGAAGAAGACGGGGTACCCAGCACGCTCCATTACCGACAGTATCGATAAGCACGTAACCTGCAGAGACGACGGGGCGCCGGAGCCGGCGGGCCAGCTCGCAAAAACAATAGCCCTGGAAACCCCGGTCGCAAAGTCATCTTCCGAAATTGGCAGGTGCCTGCTCTCGAGCACCTCCGACCGTCTCTTCTCTCCGAGAGGAATCCCGCTGTTTGCCCCTCCTCCTCCTCCTCTTCCTTTGGATTCCGCTGCCCTAGCTAAAATCAATATTTAATCGGGCTTCCAGCCAGCTCGTACCTGTCAGCCAGGTGCGAAAACCAGCGAGCATTGTTTTAACCGATACGATGGACATAATGATCCACCGCCACGGGGAATCTTGCCTTCTTTTTGTACCTTCTCTCTCTCTCTCTCTCTTTCTCGTCTTGAGGATGCTCTTAGGATCGAGTTAGATAACGATCACCTCGATATAACGCGGTAATTGGCAGTGTATCTTCCGAAGATCTGGGACGCGTGGATTCTTTGAAATTTGGCGCCTCCCTTTTTTCGCACCCTTCAACAGTTAGATACTCCGCCGTTGTTTGAGGTGGATCTCTCTTGGAGTTAATGGAATCTCCCGCGCGAGAAGTTTCGAAAGATTTCAGGACATGTCTTCGTTTTTATTCTCTAGACGCAACGAACCGAAACGTCAGAGAACCGACGAAGAGAGATAAATTTCCTGCTGCCGGTCGTCATCTTCTCGAAGGAAACGGCGCGACAAAGGTACCTTCGTACCGTTAGCCAGGTCTCGCGGAACGTAATTAAAAGCCGCGTCTCGCGTCTACGTGTCCCATAAATATGTTAATCGTTCGTTAAACAAAGTTCATGAATTCTTGCGTCGGCGCCGGCGATCGGGCAATTTCGTTCGGCTCGATATTGTATCCGCCGAAAGGGCCTCGGCTTTAATTGGTCAACCAAGAGACCACCGCTCTTAACCAGAAACCGTGTTGGCGAAAAAGAAAACGAGAGGAAAAGAAGGGAAGAAAGAAACGAAGGGTGCCACCGTGGTACCAAGCACAATACTGGCGGCGGCGTACTGACTTTGCCGCGCATTAGTCAAACAATTAAGAGTTTATAATGGGCACGTCACATAAATAACGCGGTTCAACGGAGTCGAGAGATGCGTTCCGTATCCTTCCACGTGACGCAACGGATCGCGTTAATGGAATACACGCGTACTCTCCTGCCCATACATATATGTATGTACACGAATTCGCAATGTAGCACGCGTTCGCGTTCGCAAGGTTTAATTCACAGGGGCGACCGTGGACTAATATCACGTGGGCGTTCTCATTTCCTTCCACCAGGCCGCTTTTCAATCGTACGGACAGTAATCGTCTCGTCCCTTCTTCCAGCTCTCGACAATCTAACGCGGAGATAAGAGAGAAAAACACTGCAGATAATTTTGCCAAATTTAATTATTCGCGTCAAATCTGGAAGAAGACACAGGATCTCGTCTTTGAATCAGCACCAAGAACAATTTATCACACCGA